TTTGGCTAGAACCCATATAGCCACATCACTACTGCTTTCCCTGTGCAATGCGCTGTGCTGGAAGTGAGTTCACTCCCTGATTAGCACAAGGAAAGCTTGGCATTGTCCCTCTAGTTTCACAGCCTTTGCCTCACTACACAAAATGGCACGTGGCATGGCCCTGGTGGAGTTCTGGGGCTGCTGGCTGTTATATCTGGGGGCCACCTGAACTCTTTAGGGTGGAACATATAGGATGCCAAGTCAGTACTGTTCCCCGTGGGACCAGTGCAATGGACTGGGCTGGAACCTAGCGCACCCCTTGGTTAGAACATATCCAGCTCACTGTTGTCCCTCCAGTGCCACAGCCTTTGCCTCACTGCACAAAATGGCGCCTGGTGTGGCACTGGTGGATTTCTGGATCTCCTGACCAATAGGTATGGGAATCATCCTGTCCTATTTTGTGTGGAACCTGTAGGATGCCAAGTCGGGGGACCAATGCAATGTGCTAAACCAAAAATGAGCTCGTTCCTGGGTTAGCACATATGTATCTCACTGTTGTCCCTACGGTCCTACAGTCTTTGCCTGACTTCACAGAATAGTACCCCATGTGGCACTGGTGGGGGTCTGCGCCATGAAATCCACCCTGGAAATCCACCCTGTTTCGGCACCATGCTTGGGGTCTGCTGCTCTTTCTCTGCTTGTAGTCAGATCAAATGAATCAGCAGGATGGGTGGTTCTTTGCCGGGTTCACCTCCTGAGCTCCTTGTGAACTCCCCTTTCCACCTGGCTGCTGGTGGAGCTCTGGCCACCACCCGCTGGCTGCTGTTGGGGTTTCTGGTCACAGCAACGCTCTTCCATTGTTTCTGTTGCTTCCCCCTTTGTGTTTCCAGGTACCCCTCTGTCGTCAGCCTGTCCGCTCCTATTTCCTGGTCAGTGATTCTCCATCAGTTTAAACCTGTTCATACTCTAGCGTTCTTTGTTACCAAATATAAGATTGTAAAAGTGTGTGTGTGATGCTTGAATCTTTTTCTTCTTACCTCCACATTCTGAGGTAAGAGTATAAATTCTTACACAGCAAGTGTTATTATTACTCTCCCTTTTGAAGACTTACAGGAACAGACTAAGAGCCACACTGCGGGTGGGCAGCAGGCCGAGGAAGTCCAGTAAGTGGCCTGAATGGGTGGTGCAGGGAGAACCCATGAATGCCTTGGAAAACATAGCTAGAGACTTGGGCAGCACCTCTCTCCCCCTCCTTCCCATATAGGCCCACATAGCCCCCTGGTCCTTCATTGTCTTTGCTGTGCAGTGCTCCAGTCCTCGGCAGCCCCATAATGCTAGGCCAGCACCCCATATCTTGTCATATTTTACTACTGATATAAACCGGGACCCAGAAATTCTAGCTTTTTAAATTCCTTAGGTGAGAAATTAGGAATGATTCAACTTCTATTGCGTAAGATGCACAAACGTAAAATGTGAACTTCCACAATTGTCTTTTTGCCACATTGTTTGGACAGCGGAGTTTTCCAGAGGAGGAAACTTGGCACCTCTGATTGACTGTGACATCAGGATATCAACTCTGACAGGTCCACTGAGAATCAGTTCATCCACGTAAATGGTAGTGTAATACATGTTTACGAACAATACGGATGAATCTTTCCTCCTATTTCCGTCCTTTCTCCTCCACCGAGTTTTGTTTTCTTCTCCAGAAAACAACCACCAAGAGCTTTCATGTCTTATGTTTGTGTGAGCGAACACGACTTGGGAAGAAGTGTGGGGGCGTGTGGCATTTGAAGAACATTCATCTAAGTTTCAATTCATCTTGGGAAAATTAAATGAGCTAATACATAGACACTGATGCCAAACCCGGCGGGAGGAAGAACTGTGACAAGCTCTGAGCTGACCAGGAGGTCACCAAGAATGCAGGGTGCCGCTTGTGATCACAAAGATACCCCAAGAGGATGTCATTGTAAACAATAAAGGGGAAAAAACTGAAAAGAGAATGGTGGGAAGGGTGAGAGGGTGGGAAGTTACATGACATTTCTAAATCTGAGAATAAGCAATACATGAAATTTGTTCACCTGATATAAATAAAAATTCTTGAAAAAAAAATAGATATTATATCTACGAAAAATTCCTAGGATTTGAGACTGCTGAAATGTGCAGCAGCATACAAGCACATTGCGTATGTAATATAAGCTTGCAATATAGTCCTGTATAGACTATTAAGGACAAGCTGGCAGCAGGCACGGCGGGAGGGAAAAGAAAAGTCTTTGATGGTTGAGATTTTTCACATAAGATCAAAATTTTTATGTTCCAGTTGATTTTAAAAGCTTTCTTCCAGGTTCTCCCTGGAGAATTACTAGAGTAGCTAAGACTTACAACTATTCCTTCACTCACATGGGAGAAATAAGCCAAAAAAAAAAAAAATCTGTGAATTGTGTCTTTTACACCAAAGGGCACAAGCTTGCCAAGTGCTTTTAGGACCCCCTCTTGGGAAGTTTTGCATCCCTGGTGCAAACGCGACTAGCTTATTCTTGGACTGCTGCAGTAACTCATCATCAGAAACCCACCAGAAAAGACTGCTATAACTTCTCCTCTGTGTGAACTAAGAGTTGGGTTTCCCAACACTGACTCGGGAAAAGCTTCCGTTTTCTCAAGCGCACAGTGGGCATCACTGGTTGCATCCAGGCCAAAACTAAAACAGAACAAAACGAAACCTAACTTAAAAGCAGCGAGGAATTTTCAAATCCGCACATGACGCTTCGTGCATACGCGACTATGCTACTGCTGGGAGATGCCGCCCAAATGCTGAACACCTTGGACTGAGCTTTCAGGCAGCTGGGGAGCTGTCCCCTGAGGCGCCACTGCTGAGCCTCATCTTCTCACTTCCTGACAGCAACAACTGGACTGTGTGTATGTGTGTTGATGCATGCAGATCAAGCAAAATGCTGACTTGATCCATCACTTATTTCTCTCTGGAGCAGCCAGGCGCTGGGCACTGTCCCAGGTTCTGAACGTTGGAGCTAACAGTGCGTATTTGCAGGAACCTCAATGGATTCCCTGTCAAGTCTTGCTCAGTCTGTGATGCACGCATTAGGGCATGTGGTCACACTTCACGGAGCTGGATGCTCAGGGTCAAAGCATCCTCTGTGATAACAAGAGCTCATCTACCCGGAACCTTAGTTAAGGAACTAAGGGTGAGTCCAGAAAGAAAGGACGGCTGCTGCTACGTGGAACCGCAGACAGGGAATACGGAAACGGGTCAGCTTTCCTGTCTAGTAAAATGAATCTGAAAAATAGTTAATTTTCTTTCATGTCTCAAATGAACATTACGTCCAGGAGGTCGAGAAATGCTACATTAAGACTTCTGACTTAATTCCCATCAACTACGCAGAATTTCTCTTTCCCACGTTGCAACACTCTAAGGATCATTTGTATGTAAATAAGTATTCAAGTGTTATTAACGAGAGCGGCTTATAAATGATTCAACGCTGGGCCCTGCCAGATAAACGTCCCCTTGTAAGTCTTATCAGAGGACAGAGGAGTTGAGAAAGATATGGCTACCGCATGTTCAGATTTCCACAAAAACTCCTTCTTGATTGTTAAATTTAAAATGTTTCACATTCCAAGGAGTTTAACCTGCCAAGTTGTATTTTCAATGCTGCAGGACTTGAACTGAAGAAGAGTACAGATTCACGTCCTAGGGAGAGAAACACGTTCATTTTAGATAAAACAACACTAATACTCACCCCTTCCCACTCCTCTTCTCAAAAGAGAAAAACGAGAGCCAGGGCCAGAGCTGGACTGAGCGTCTGGACACCTGAGGGGCCCTTGCTTCAGGGATTCCTGTGCTGTGGCCACAGGGGCGCCTGGTTCTGGCAGGAGAAGGCACCAACGAAAGCTAAAAGCGGGTCTACTGCCGTGTTGGCGACTGTAACATAAAATTCAGCAAGCGAGTGGTCCTATCTAGGTCACTGGACTGAGTCAGGAAAAAAAAAAACCCCGCAAATTAGCAACTGTATGTACTGAACTATGCACACCCTTAAAAACACTGAACGCAAAATCTCTACCGAGAGCGTTTCTTCCTTCCAGGGCAGCAAGCCGCAGGGTGGCAGCGCTTGGCTCCCAGCCCCGGGCGCACCCCGCATCCCACCCCGCACCCGGCCCCGGGGCGCACCCCGCATCCCACCCCGCACCCAGCCCCACATCCCAACCCGCATCTAACCCCGCATCCGGCCCCGCATCCCACCCCGCACCCAGACACGCATCTAGCCCCTCACCCAGCCCGGCTCCCAGCCCCGGGCGCACCCCACCCCGCACCCCGCCCGCACCCGCCCCGCACCCCGCCGGGGCACCCGCCCCGCACCCCGCCCGCACCCGCCCCGCACCCCGCCGGGGCTCCCCGGGGCGGCGCCCTCCCAGCAGCCAATCCGCCGCCAGGCCCGCGGTGGCGCCAGTGACGCGGGAGGCGCTCGGCCCCGCCCCACTGCGGGCCGAAGCCGGCCGGCCGACGGAGCGTGCGCCGCGGCCCCGGGGGGCGGAGCGTGAGGAGCGGCCCGGGCCCCGGCGGCGGCCGCGGGCGGAGGGGGCGGTTCCTGGAGTGTCGGCGAGCCGAGCGCGGGCGAGCGGGCAGGAGGGCGGCCGGCGCCGCAGCAGCGAGCAGCCCAAGCAGCCCGGCCTGCCGCTCGCTCCCGCGGCCGCTGCGCGCGCCCTCCTCCTCCTCCTCCTCCGGAGGCCATGAGCCGGGCCGCCCCTGCCGGCTGCCCCGCGGCGCCGGCCTCCCGGCGGCGTGACCTCGGCCTCCGGCTCGCGTGTGCGGCCCCCGCGGCGCGGCGCTGCCCCTGACACGGAGCGGCGGCCCAGGGCCTCGCGCGGGGACAGCGCCCGGCGCCCTCCGCCCGTCCGCCGTCCTCAATGTCTCCCCGGCGGGGAGGGGGCCGCCTGGGAGACTCGCAGAGCGGCACCCTCCGGAGGCCCGGAGCCCCGCAGCCTCCCCCGGCGGTGGCCCGGACGGGCCCCGCACCCGCCGCTGCCGCCCCCCGAGCCTCGCGGCCGCCGCTGCCGCCCGGCGCCCCCGGAGAGGGCGGCGGGCGCCCCCCGGGGAAGATGAAGGCGGAAGGAGGCGACCACTCCATGATCAACCTGTCGGTGCAGCAGGTCCTGAGCCTCTGGGCCCACGGGACGGTGCTGAGGAACCTCACGGGTAATGGCCGGGGCCGGGGTGCGGGGGACAGGGATGCGGTACCGCCCCTCGCCGCCGCCTCTGTCCACGCTCGTGGGGCGAGGCGAGGAAGGCGTTACGAAAGAGGGGCGTCCCCCGGGTGGGAGTCTCACCTGCAGCCCCGCACGGGGACACCTGGCTGCGGGGACTTGGGCGCAGTTGGCCTGGGCGCCCTCTACGCGTGCACCTGCCGCGCGACCCTTTAGTTAAGCTTAGCTCGTGGCCTGTCTGCCTGGCACATCACACGCCAAACGCAGGACTTCAGTTCCCTGCTTCATGAGAGTAGTTTGCGTCCACTTCTATTATTATTATTTTTTTGCAGAGTGGATGACTGAGTAGGTGATAGCGGCTCAGGGGCTGGGCCTAGGTCTACTGCTTCCTGCATTTTAGCTTTTAGACTTGCATGTCTTGTCTCCAGTGGTTTCCTCTTGTCCATCAGTCTCCAGCCAGAGACCCGCTGCCTCTGGGATACGTGATAATTTTGAGCATTTCCCCTGCTCAGCGGTGTCCTCATAACATCAGCTGGGTGTTTGTTACAGTGAGCCAGAAAGCATGTATTTTTCATCTCATCTGTAGTTTTCCCTAAGGAAGAAACTGCTGCTTAGGTTGGAGGCGAATGCTTCCCGGGGTAACTTCTGAGTTGCAGATTTTAAAAGCAGTCCCTGCTTGCACTCTGTACATGGGATTGAGTGAATGGCAATGTGACAGCTCTCAGAGCCCGCCCCTCAGACAGACAACTTCCATGGTGATCGCACAGGCACATCTGTTGGTGTGTGTGGTGTGAGATCCGGCAGAGCCGGGGGTCCAGCTGTTCATGCAGAATTGAGGGCTAGCAAGGCCACCTCTGGGGCTGTGAGTGCCTTCGAGTGTGGAAACTCTACAACCACGATAGTTCTGCCCTGGTTAACGGTGGCCTCACTTGGAGGCTGTGCAAACTGACCTGATGTGATAATTACAGTTTCCAGGCACGGTTGTAACATTCTGAGAAACAGACTTGACCTACAGACTTTCATGGTGTCAGCTGAAGGGGCTTGTGGATTGCTTCAACTTTATGGCTTTGCTGCTTGCTGCTGACCACTCTTTCCTACGGCAGGTGTATACTTTTATTAGAGTAAAATGAGAAGGACTTAGTGAATGTGTGGGTGCGTATTAAGGAGCAGGAGGTGGAGCTAGCTTTGGGGCCCGGGCAGTCCAGGTGCATGGCTTGTCAGGATTTGGCAGTTTGTACTGTGAAATTCTGAGGCTGATAGTGTCTGCCATGCCACTGGTCAGTCACTGGGTTCATAATGGGTGCCATCCAGGGTTGCTTCCAATGATCTTCTCACTGATTTTTTTTAAAAGTAATTATTTGTAAGGCAGAGGAACAGAAAGAACCTCCATGTGGAAGTTGACTCGTCAGGTTCACCCCTCAGGCCACAGCTTGGAGGGAGCCAGGCTCCATCCAGGAGTGTGATGTGGGCAGCAAAGACTGAATGGTTAGCACCGTCTCGTGGGTGATCAGCAATGCCCGACTAAGCGAGGTTCTGTGTGTCCAGAGCGAAAATCAGACCTTGTGTGAGGGGACCACACTGCCTCTGAGACGTGGAAGGCAGCCACTCCTGGTGGGCCTTCTGCGCTCCAGTGCCCTCGGTGAGCCCCTAGGCAGCGGAAATGAGCCCGGAGAGGCAGCGTGCAGCGCCACTGGCAGCAAAGGCGAGCGTGCACAGTGCCCTCTGAACTGAGACAGCTCCCAGTTAGGCATCTTCATGTACGGTTTCAGGCTTCTCACTGGCTCCTGGGAGGGTGAGAAAAGGGATGTGAGAGCAGTGGAGTTCGTCCCGGTAATGGTAGAGCCGTGCCAGGCCGAGCCAGGGTGGGGCCAGGGTGCCTAGGGTGGGGCCAGGGTCTGTCTGCAGAATGCCCTCTCTGCTTTGCCCTTTCAGGCGCAGTACAGGTCTTGCTTAATCTTGATATTTCTGCTCCTTGTGCATGGTTTTGTCATGCTTTTCAGTTACTTTGTATTGTCCATTTGTTTCCTCTGGACTGAACTTTGAAAGGAGTCTCCTCGGCGTTTTTTTGCACCTGACAGAGAGGTAGCCCTAAATCCATGATCACTGAGTTTGTGAAGTAATGCTTAACGCTTGCGCAGTTTAACCATTCTTCTTTATGCATTCGGACATTGGAGCAAGGGGAGCTTGCTTCCCAGAACAGGAGAGAACTCATCTCACTCCACTTTCTTTTCACAGTCGGAAGGGGTTTTTGTCATCACCCTGAATGTGGAAATACAGTAGGAATATGGTGCAAAACTGGGCTTTCAGGGATGACTGCGTAAAGGATTTGCAGAGCTCTCGTTAATGGGAGTCCGGTTACTAAGTACCAGACAAAAGGGAAGATGCTCCCCTTGAACAAACAAGTTTGATGCTATCCTCTTTGTATCCTAACACGGGAAAAGTTGTTGACCTTTTTGTGTGTGTGTGTATATCATGATGACGAGCCTTTAGAAAAAATAGCTTTGTGTATTTGTTATTTTGATAGAAATCGGATTTGACAAGTAGTACAAAGGACTAGCAGCATCACAGGGTGTTCGAGCTGGAGCCAGGTCACTTTGGGAACCTTGACATCACAGTTCTTTCCTGACGTGCTGTCACCGGGGGTCTCAGTGCCACGGTGTTCCGGGGGGGCTCCCAGTGCTCCGCTCTGCCCGCCCTGTCTGCTGGGACTCCTGTGGTGAACATCTGTCGCTTAGGCACAGGAAGGGAACTGGGTGCTATGCTAGAGCGGCCAGCGCCTCTTGCACTTTGGGGCCAGCATGAAGCTCTTCTAAAGGTTATTGGAGCAGAAGCGCTGTGAAACCATGGCAGTGTGCTTAGAGATGAGTGGGTGGCCATGTTGGCAGCGCGATGACCCCGTGCTGGGCAGGCCAGCGAGCGCTTTCGCCATGCTGCTCCGGCAAGCACTTTTTAAAAGCGATGACTTGTTTATTTCTGCAATGTTCCCTTTATTATTTTCACATTGCGGTTGACCAGCAGTAACTGAAACCGTGGCAGACCGTGTTGTAAGAGCTTGTGTTGGGGGCTGGGGCGGGGAGGGGCACGACTGTTGCAGTTTGGCGAATAAGCTGCTGGAGATTGTAAGGTGTTAAGAAATAACACGCTCTGAAATGGTAAGTTGCTACTGCACTTTGTGACTCGCCACGGTCGTTGATTTTTCGTGGTTTTAGAGACTATGCTACTGAGTCCGTGTGGTATTTAGTTTTCTTCCTTCTCGGAACCCAGTGCCATGAGGGTTCCAGACACAGCAGATGAACTGCTGGCCCCTTGTCCCTGCTGTGTCTGTCTCTTTCTTTCTCTCTCTCTCTCTCTCTCTCTCTCTCTCTCAGGTGCTGGGTCAGGCCCCTGGTTCAGCTTTGGCAGCAGGCGTGGGCACAGGTGCTGGGTCAGGTCCCTGGTTCAGCGTTGGTAGCAGGCATGGGGGCGCAGGTGCTGGGTCAGGCCCCAGGTTTAGCATTGGCAGCAGGCGTGGGGGCAGGTGCCGGGTCAGGTCCCTGGTTCAGCATTGGCGGCAGGCATGGGCACAGGTGCTGGGTCAGGTTTCTGGTTCAGCATTGGCAGCAGGCATGAGCACAGGTGCTGGGTCAGGCCCCTGGTTCAGCTTTGGCAGCAGGCGTGGGCACAGGTGCTGAGTCAGGTCCCTGGTTCAGTGTTGGCAGCAGGCGTGGGGGCACAGGTGCTGGGTCAGGCCCCTGTTTCAGCATTGGCAGTAGGCATGGGCGCAGGTGCTGGGTCAGGCCCCCGGTTCAGCGTTGGCAGTAGGCGTGGGCGCAGGTGTTGCCCTCCTGCTGTTGGTGGCTAGCACTGGGAGTCATTCAGATGGCACAGAAGGGCACATGCACTCTGGTGCTGGATTTCTGTTGGATTACATACGCTCATACTGTCATGCCTCACATTTAGTCTCTGCTTGCTAAGCCATTTTAGTATGATAATGCTAGCAGAAAGAAGGGAGGGTGCTTGGTGTCCATGAGCCTGTCTGAAGGTGCCCACAGCGTGCTGCCACGGGGCGAGCGTTTTCCATTCGGCTCCGAGGCAGGCACGTCCTTCCTGCTGTTGCTCTGGACTCTGAATCCCTGTTGGGCTCACTTGTTCCTTAACTCTGTCTTGTAAGGAGGCGAATTGATGTGTGTAAAGAGATTTGAGATGCTTGCGTGGAGTTTTTTTTGTCTTTTGTAAATAATCCTTAAAAGCTGGCTGCTTTGCAGTAATTAAAGAATGATTGTTCAGGATGAAGGTGCTGTTAATTTTATGATGATGGTCATGGTCAGGTTTTACTTTCTTAATTCCCACCTCATTTTTTTTGGAATCCTAAACCCACATACTCTGGCACTGTCAAATCAGGGACCTGATGCCATTTCTTAAACCTGAAGTAGTTCCTGGATAAGCGTTGGCATTGCTGAAATTAATTGTTAATTGCTGTAGTGAAAACGTGTTGACGTTGGCTTTGTGTAGTGACTGAAGCCAAGGTCCCCGAGAGTGGCCTTCACTTGGAGGACTAGATGCAGGGGGAGGCCTGCACTGAGGAGGAGCTGCCCGGGCTCGGGGGCGAGGTAGAAAGGCCGGCGGGCCGGGGAGAGCCCAGGCATGTAGGTGTGGAATTTTCATAGCATCGGATGAAGAATTCCTAGGCTGGCTGTAGTACTTGGTACCCACTGCGTGTCAGATACTGCGAATATCATTTGCATGTGTCTCATGTCCTAAAATTGACATGACCATGAAATCTATCTTATTGAACAAACGTGAAATATCAAGTGATTTAAGCTGATTGTAATTATATATTTTGTGACAGTATGCTTTAGTGGTATAGTCATGAACAAGGTGGTAGCAGCACTTTTTAAAGACTTCTCATTTGGGCCTGGTGCAGTAGCCCAGTGGCTAAAGTCCTCGCCTTGCATGTGCTGGGAGCCACTGTGGGCACAAGCTTGTTCCTGGCTGTTCCACTTCCCATCCAGC